CCCCAAAACCCCAAAACCCCAAAACCCCACTGTGAATTGTAAAGTTATGCATTTAGCAGAAATTTGTGTAGAAAATTAAAAAAGATGAGAGAATATTTTTATATTTAATTAGAAGGAACAAAAAACTTTTTAAAATCAGAGTAATAATTCGATTTCAACATAATTTAACTCTTTTGTAGTTCAAGTTTATTTTACGCCCCAGATGAAAAAATCATAATCAATGAGCGAATTTTAAGCTCTAAGAATGAGAAACATGCCTTCAAAATATAGGAAAATAGATATTTAGTCTTTAAATGAATAGGCTATGTGGGCCTTCGAAAAAGACTAGAAACGAATAGAAAATCAGATGAAGAGTACTAAGGCCTCTCCTCTTAAATCAAGACTAAAGCAAGAGGACTTGATTTCTAAAATTGATCACATAAAATCAGAATTGAAAAGCAAGTAAGATCGCAAATATTTCATCACACCAAAGATGCACTAAATTCAGTTTAAAGAGAGTCTGCTAACTAAAGATCTTCGAAATTTATACTTTCCACCCTTAACGCCTAGTAGGAACATTCCTAACTAAAAACAAAAAGTGCTTGATAGTAACAAGATTGGATATTAAAGAATGGGTTTATTCTCTACAGTGCTTGAGAAGAGAGAAATCATTAAGGAAACTTTCAATGAGAATGTATATAAAAATGATTCTTTCGACAATACCTAAATAAAATTAGTAGAGTCAAGCAATAATATAACAATTGTAGAGGTGGAAGATGATATGGATGATCATCAGGGCGAGAGAGGGGCTCTTAATTTCTACAGAACTTATAAAGACCTTCCAAGATAGCTTCAACAAGAGAGAGGCCCCAATAGCTTAGTAGACTATGGTGCTACTGCTTTTTTAAATTAAGTTGAAAAACTAAAGATTACTCCAAAACCATTCATAATAAATCGAGAGGCTAGAAATCATTAGAGAGGACTCATAAACCTCAATTAATATTCTATTGGAGATGAATACGCTTAAGCAATTAGTTCAAGTCTTATTAAACTCAAACCAAACATCATAAATGCAGCAAACAATAGACTTTCTAGCAAGGGCGTCATTAGTATTATAAAATAAATAAATAGTTTAAGAGTAGAACAGCTCGATATCTCAGATAATAAATTTGACATAGAAGCTATAAGGGAACTTACAAAATCAGTTTTTATGCCAAACTCAGATTCAAATATAACTTATCTTAACTTGTCAAAAAATAAACTTGGTGATGAGGCTATCAAGATTTTATGCTAATCTTTACTGGGATACAAGTCTCTAACTAAATTGGATTTGAGCAAAACTGAGGTTACTAATGACGGAGCTAAATCTATTGGCCATTTATTGGAGCATAACAATGAACTTAAAGAACTAGTACTATCATGGAATAAGATTAGGAGTTAAGGTGGACTGTTAATCGCTCATGGCTTGAGATAAAATGGAGGGTTAAGAAAGCTGGATCTGAGCTGGAATTCAATTGGATCTGGAAAAGAGGGTGCTCTTGGTGAAGAATTAGGCAAGGCTTTGAATTATGAGAATTTGGTGCACTTGGACATCAGTCATAACAAGATATCAAAGGTTGACATGATAATGATAGGTGAAGCGATACATAATAATCATAAGCTCTTTGGGATTCATATTGCTGGCAATGATGGTTGCTTTTTGGATTCCTAGGGATTCATCAGAATCTAACACCAGAATAAGTAGCCTTCTCAAGTCATAGTAACTGCTAAAAGACTTTAAAAATAAAGAACTTCTAAGGAGGGCGCTTATATTTTAGACGATTCACTTGATGCTGATTAGATGTCAATCAGAATAATGAATGGCTGTTGGCTTTGTGAAGAGTGGAGAGAAATGAAGTTTGAATGGATTGATAGTAAGTAGCAAATATATATATAATCTCTATAGTAAACAGATGGGCAAGCAGAAAAGGCCATGAGTAAAATGTCTATATTCATTTCGAATTTGATGACTATGAAGGAGATTAAATGATCAAAGAGAGAGATTAGAAGTATATTATTTGGCGCATGGTGCCACCAGGCATTCATAGATATTTTATCTCGATTCTAAAGTTCAGATTGTCTTTTGTTCACAACTAGAAGTTCATTGATAATCTCAGATCGTTTGTAGCTATATATATTATTTTTATCTTTTTAATAGGATATTAAAGACTCTAAAAGTGGTGAGACCTTGATTGTATTAACTCCAGATAGATTGAACATCGCCAATGCTCACCCTTAAAAGGACCTATTTGATTGGGAAAAGTTTTCAACTAAGAGTATCCATATATGCACCCCTAGAAATACAGAGAAGATTTTCAAGAAAGAAATGAAAAAGAAGCCAACACCTTTATGGCATAGATAAGACTCAATTTTTAGAAACTTCAAAATTTTATCAGAAGATACTCTCATTGAATGCTTCGAATTTGACTGGAATGCAATGTGCAAGCCCAGATTCAAAGAGAATTCAAATATTGAGCAGATTAAGGGTGTATTAAGAAAGGGCTATCCCTACTTGTAATCATATTCTTAATAAAAATATTGTTATAGAATTGAGATTTACAGAGTTATGTCAGCTAAGTATCAACAAGGCAATGTCTTCTGCATATCTTATGAGGGATTTTTTTAGTTAATGGAAAAGTTTGATTTGATTGATAATGATGATTTGAAGATAGAGGTTGATAAGGCTTATAAGAAATGTGCTTAGTGTTCAATTGATTCTCCATTTGTGGTTGATGGATATCTTGTTAGATTCTAGTTCTTGGAGATGATCTTAAGAGTGATCATTGCAAAGTATCTCAAATGTAATATTTTCTTCTTTTTGTGTAAACCATACATAGAGTAAATTTGTGAGACAATCGTTGAGTCTATCAATAAATTTCTCAATGATGAATTTCTTCCTTAATCTAAATGTGATAGAACTATGCAAGAATGGAGAGATAAAAGATTTTGGAATGAGCAATGCGACAATTTTTTGCAAAACCATTACGACCTGTTTAGACATATTTATGAGAAATTTGCAGGTAAAAGTCAGAGATAGGGGAGAAAATTCATAAATCACTAACCCAATACTCTGATGAATCTAGAAGACTTCAAGCAATTTATATGCTAGGCGAATTTGCTGAATGACATGTTTAAAGAGGAAGATATAGCTGTCTGTTTCAACCAAGCAAAGCTTTTGCATGTAGATGAGATCTACAACGATAATCATATTAAGTTGACTTTTGATGAATTCCTTGAGGCCTTCGCCAGAGTTTGTGACTAAGCATCTCATTCGCCTATGATACCCATTAGAAACCCACTTTCAGGCAGAAGCGATTGCAGAAGTATAGGGAGCTCTTACAATGTGACCTAGCTCTATTCCCCAGCTAACTCGCTTACATTTGAATAGACAATGAACTAAACTGATAGAGAATTCTAATATCTAGTATGCAAGATGGATAACGTAGTTGACTTCTTGTTGATTAACACTTGTAAAAACGAATTCAGAGAGAGTTTTGTCAAGCCTTGGAAAGACTTTGCGACTGGCTTATTTGTTGTTCAGCCCAAGGAAAACTCACATGGACATCATAGTCATTAGAAAATAAGCTAGAATAACTGAGATAATCATTTTATCCCTATAATTTGAAGTAATCTTAATTTCATGAAATATTTATTTGCCAAAATAGCATCAATCATCGATCGTGGGGTTTTGGGGTTTTGGGGTTTTGGGG